AAAACAGACCAGATTTACATGGTTTTCAATGGGAGCAAAACGGAGTTGCTCCATCTCTGCTCATAAACTACAGACAGTAATGCGCTCCAGTGCGTGTGTCTATACTTTATGTCAAATGTAAACGGTGTAAACTTTGTCGCTAACTCACCCTGTGTTTTCATCACGACTCGGGCACATGTGAAAAGCACCAGCTCACAGCGCCGCACCGCAACACGGAGTCGGGGTGCGTTCACAGACGGTGGAAACCGTAGGAATTTTTAGATTTCGGCGGAAAAAGTGCGAGAATACAGGAGGGAGGAACTTTCTCTCGTTGCGTTTCAAAAGAGAAAACAGATTCCAACGTTCATAGTGATGTCTGCCGTTCATGACACATAAAATGAACTAATTCACGTTCAAGTTCTTTTCTTAAAAATGTGTTGCGTTCAGTTCAACGTTCACGAAAAAATGAGCGTGTTCAATGAACGCGTTCTTTTGAACTCGTTCACGCACAACACTGATTTCTTCACAAGGGAAACTCCAGCTTGCCTTAGCAACCATCTTAGCAACACGTCTGCCCCTGTTACGACACAAAGCTAATGTTGTCTGACACATTTGCCCATATAAGGAAATTGGCTAGCTTAAGTTAAAATCGGCTTCTCCGGCATTATGGCTAACACTAGCACTCAAGTCAGTCCACTCTTAATATACAGTCCATGCTGGATTAAATAAAATAACTTCAACATCAATAACAAACTCAGAACAAAGGCAATTTGTGATGAGACAACACCCATAGGCATATCCTTAAATCAAACACATTTTCTGCCCTCACTCACTTCATGTTTATAGTAGCTGTCACCAAGAAGCTGCTTTTCTTCAGTGTAAACGCACACAGGCCAAGACCTCCAGAGACTTTCTTTCATATGCCCATCCTACTCCCAGCTTCATTTGATGCCAGTCCCTGTGCTGTTAGTTCTGGCTTTACATCTCGTCAATATTAATGGGCCCTTCGTTGGGGGGCGCCATGCCACTTAATAGCAACATTCATTATTCAAAATCTGCCTATCTAGTTGGTAGCACATCTTCTAATGCGCTACTATGTATAAAAATCAGCTCGTCAATAATCAAAAGGAAATGTATTAACAGAATCAGGCCAAAAGGGGGCACGTGAGGCTAAAGACAGTGTTTATACACAAGTGGTACATGATATCAAAAATGTATGATTGACAGAAGAAGAAACACACGGATTGACAATATTTACAGTCTATGGTATTGACATCGTGACCAAACCATGTAAGATTAGTGCCTTGGACGTAGCTTAAAAAAAGAAAATCTCTCATTTTACATTAGTGGAGTGTCCTGGACAAACGTGAGTTACATTCATTCACTATTCCATCATGACTTAAAGCTCAGATACCTAACTTTTAAAACACACTCAAATGAACTATGTAATTAAATCCATATTAGGAGTTCCTGGCTCATCACTAGTTTTCACATGATACCTTTAAGTCTGGCATCAGTAACAATAGTTCAAAATCAAATGATCTTTTTTCATATTTTCTTTGAAACAACTATCAGGGTTACGGTTAGTAACTATCTCATCTGTGCTTGAATTGAAACTGAAAACAAACTGCAGCCAGGCCTAAACCCAAAATATTACTGCATCTGACCTAGTAATAAAGTAATAGTAATGGGTCTGGTCAAGCAAATGTGGTTTGCTAACTTACATAATTATGATATGTTTTTTTAATACTAATACCTTTACTTTATGCAAACAACACATGCCTTTAAAACCTCCAGCCTGTCCCTTATCTCCCAACAGTAGCAAATCAATTAACCATGCCATTTACTTTACTTTTTAATTGGCTCCGGTTAGATGTGTTGGGGCAAAGATAAGGCAAATGGGTCAATACTGATGTGCAGGTCAGACGAGGTACCCACAATGCACTGGGGCGTTCCTTGTGCCTAATTAAAGAGTATTTGTGTGATCTCGTCAGCTGCCCTGTGACAGAGATGCAGCCTCTGGTGGGAAAACAAAACTTCCAGGTCAAGACCCTGACACTCAGCAGGTTTCTAGTGCATAAGGAAAGAGGTGGAACAGGTCTTTAGATCGTATAAATGTATATTTTATACTATATTATTTAGGGCTTGCTAGGAGAATACATTCTTGGCTCAATAAATACACTTCAAGTCAATCATTATGTTGACTGAAAAGGGGTGTGTAAAATGTCTCAAAATGTTTGCCATAAAATCATAACATTAATTTCTATTTCTAAAGCATTTAATTAAGTATTAGTATTGTGATTGGAGAGATTGACCTGGCTTGAATAATAAAAAATAAAAAAAATCTTCAAATCAGACGAATGCAATTTTGGGTAGAAATCCATGGATTGGACTTGCTGAAGACGGACAGCCCTAAAATAACTTAATTTTGATACGTTATTCCTTCTATGTCAGATAATAAGCAGAACATTATGTAACTAAATTCACTTTTAAACTAATCCCTTACATTTTTTTGTGTACTGCTTGTTTTGGACATTCAAAGACTATATATACAGTATATTAATTTATCAATAAAGGATCTCTTCTCTTCATTCACTAAACACACAGAGGAGGTAAGCTCCTACTCCATCCACAGCCTCACCCTAACACCAACCCTATGACCTGATGGCCCCTTTGACCATGCACCAATCATTATCACCACATTTATTTGAATGTGGGTGGAGGGCACATTAATGGTTTGAACTTGAGCACCAGGACTAAGGAAGGAATCTGGAAACAGTCTGGAGCAGTTTTATTGGACATAAGTAAGTAAGCATTCTTTATCTCTATAGCGCCTTTCACAGACCAGAGTCACAAAGCGCTTTAAAATTGTGTTTTTTTTGTTTTTGGGCATTTTGTCTTTCACTACACACAGAGACGGGAGCGGGAATGTCATACAGAAGGCACAAGGCAGATCTACAGTATTGTACATGTTTTAGTGGTCGGGGAAACCGGAGTACCGGAGGAAACCTACGCAGACATGGGGAGAACATGCAAACTCTACACAGATAGGTCTAGAGGTGGAATAATTCAACAAGAGTTCTCAAGCTAACCTACTCAGCTTTACTCACAGCTTAATGTCAAAAGTGAGAATATTAGTCGTAGCTAATTTTTCTCATTCCCGTCACAAAGTTCCACATCTTTGCTCTCAGCACATCAGGTTTGGGCTTATTACCATTTTCTCGTAAAGGTCATAGAGATATATAAAAAAAAAAGAAAAACCTGCACAATTCAGACTTCAATTTAATTTGTTGGGTTTGTAAATCTGTCATGTGATTCGTAAGTTTTCCATATCAACAAACCAACAGATGGCTTCTTTTACATATAGTTGTTTAGAGTAATTAGCACTCCATATAAAATATAATAATAAGTCAATGCAAGCTATTACGCTGCAAAAAGTGAAAAAATAAGTCAAACAATGCTCAAATTTGGCAAAAAGTATCTTGATTTGGGCACATTTTGACTGCCCGATAGCAAGGTTTTCCAAAGGGATGAGCAAAATCATCTTGTTTTAAAAAGATACAAGAAATGTCTCCCTTGAAATTAGAAAATAAAGCAACAGTTCTTGACTAAATGGCTTTGTCCCATTGGCAAATCTTGTTTTAAGACACATCTCGATTCAAGCAATTATGATCTCATATTTTATCATTTTGTGCAAAACCACGTTTCAGAATATTGTCATCATATTTGGAGGTTGACCCAGCCATCACAATGTTGCATATACAGAAACTGAGACAAACAAGACAGTCTTTGAGTTCAGGTCTCGGTGAGTTGTTTGTGACCGTTTGACCTGGCGATGTGTGCTTGTTATTTCTCTGTCTGCTCCGGTCTCCCCTGTGTCCTCTCTGTCTCCTCCATCCCCTCTCCTCCGTCTGGCTCGTCAGAATCACTCACCCTGTACCCTCCACACGTCTCTCAGCTGAACTCGAACCAATACAGCTGATGTCAAAGGGATGTTTGTGTTTTACATTACATCAAATGACCACAATATGTTAGGAATGGGAATGGGGAATTATAGGAGGAGAGGATTAACAGGTTGAAGAATTTGATGCCTGTTTTGCCAAAACAAACACAATAGAAAGATAAAGAGAGGAAGATAAATTTGGGGTAGATATCGGAATCCTCTTCTGTGCAAGGAATTAGTCTGGACACTTGTCGATGTGAGTTTGATTTGCAGGAAGAGAGGACTAATGAGCATAGATCAGATCTAATTAGAGACACATTTCAGCAGTGGACCAAACAGACTTTAAGATTGAAATCGCTGTGGCTCTCTCGAAACAAAGAAACATACTTCAAGGTAACGTTATAATTTTCATCTTTAGCAATATTGTGTTATTGGTTTGATAAAGTATAAAGTATATGAAGAAAGTGAGAAGCCTAGCTAACCAAAATCAACTTAGAAGCATGCCTAATGAATGAATCAAAAGAGAAGCATGGCTAACCACAATGAAATAATCAACTTAAAAATATGGATTCCATCCATTCATCCACTTTCTTCCACTTCATATGGAGACTTTCCTATCCTCACACAGTTTCTCCAGCTCATCTGGGGGAATCTCGAGGTGTCCCCAGGCCAGCTGAGAGACATAGTCCACAGTGTGTAGTCTACAGTTTGTCCTGGGTCTTCGCCGGGGTTTCCTTCCAGCAGAACATGCTCGGAACACATCCCCAGGGAGACGTCCAGGGGTCCAAGAAATATGGATTCCACAATGAATCAATCAACTTAGAAGCAAGGCTAACCACAATGCCTTAATCAACTTAGAAAGATAGCCACAATAAATGGACTTGGGAATCATGGCCGACCACAAGTAATTCATTTAGATGCAACACGCTTTCTCCTTGTAATGTTATGCCATCTGCTAGACAGCCAACCCCTTTCCAAATGTAAAGAGTAGAGAGTTAGAGGGAGTAAAAATAACAGATTCATTTCCAGTGAATCACAGGTAGCAGGTACAACTAATCCGAGGTGTAGGTCGGGTTACCTCGGTGATGCGGGGGTTGGTACACTTGACGTTCTTGGTGTTCATGTGGAGCCAGCGGGTGGTGTAGGGGTTGATGGGGGGGCAGTGGTGACGCAGAGTACAGCGGCCCTCTCCACTGCACCAGCCGCACTCAAACTTCCGATCAGCCTTCAGACACAGGCCACAGCTGTCCCTCTGAGCCGCACATTTGTACAGGTGCACTGTGGGAGGAGGAGGAATGGCAGGTTAGTCCCTTTGCTACATGTTTGATTTTGTTTGGTGCGCCTAACTTTTTCTAATGGTTTTACTTCAATTTAGCATCAAGTTTGAGGCAAAAAAATTGTACAGAGCTCTACAAAAAATTACTTGATCTTTCAAAACACACATTTAAAGCTGGGGTACATGAATTTTGGTGTTGTGATAAATTCATTGTTTTGTCCCAACAGAGTACAAGTAAAAGACCAGAACATGCAGCTTAATAGTTGTGTTCTGTGAGTAACTATTTGACACATTGGGCTGAGAGCTGATTGGGTGAGAGAGGGTAGTCCTCTGTTTTTAACTTTTATGTCCAAAATCCCAAAAATCGGATCAAAAAATTTGACAGAGGCAAAAAAATGCATACATGTGAATCTAGTGAAAGGACCAAACTGCATTGAGACCAAGAAGCTTGTTACTGTACATGGGTTTATCAATAATCTACTTTGTGATTGAGGTTTGTGTTTTAAAAAAAAAATCAAAATCAAAATTATGTCAAAACAATGTCACTCACTAAACCTCAAGTGTTAAAACTTAATTACATAAGACTATTATAGATCTTGTTTCATATTTATATTTGTAAATATAGATTCGATTTACATTTGATGAACACTTTGTAGCTGCTATACCTTGTCCTATCTGTAAAACATGGACGTCCCCCACCCCGCAATTTTTACAATTTAAGTAAAATCTTAAATCAAATGTCAAGAAATGTATTTATTCCACAGGATTCATGAATTAACACAGGCAAATAAGCAAAAGACTGTTCATATGTGCTGAATTAGCACCAATTACAGGATTAGCCTAATATTTGAGTTATTATGAGGTTTGCAAGTATGGCTGATGTCAAATGGAGCTCAATTGTGGAGAGATGACAGAAAATAGGGCACTCTTTAAAGCATGAGCGTGTGGGTTTTTTTTCAGTGAGCTGCAGGCGGTCTGAGCTCCGATGCCACAAACGCAAAAAATACACCTGCACATGTTTTTTGTGTAATATGCAGAGAGTGGAAACCTGCTGAGACAAGACAATATTTAGAAGGCTACAGACAAAGCTAAGCACTTAATGTGTTTTCATTTAAAGGTTCTGTCTATGTATAAAGAGGAATGGAGATAAGATAACAACCTGTATTTTTCCAACAGTGGATACAGTTCGGAATAGAGAAAGGTTTTAGACAATATTATATGGGTTAGGGTTGTGTCAAAAGTCTTGGGAGTGTTCGATTACTGTTGTAAATATGTGTTTTAGGTGTATGCATCACATCAGTTGCATCACGCTGTAACTGTGTGACTACATTGTCCCTGTCAAATTAAATAAATACTAACATCTAGTTAACTGTGTCAGAATCAGAATCAGAATCATCAGAATCAGAATCATTTTTATTGCCAACGTAAGTAACGGGAGGTCACAGACTTGGAAATTGCTTTGGCTCAGTGCAACAGTCAAAAAGAGATAATAAAAATAAGAATAAAAAACACTTCTAAAGAATAAATTTAAATTTAAAATAGAGTTACAGTTACTATTTACAATATACAAGTGCACATGGTGCACACAATGTAAGGTGACAGCAGTACAGTGAAGTAAAGTGACGTATGATGGGCAGTAAAGTGACTTTATAAAGGGCGGGGGGACAGGTTAAGAAGTGTTCAAGAGTCCAACAGCAGAGGGGAAGAAACTGTTCTTGTGGCGGGAGGTTCTAGTCCTGATGGACCGCAGCCTCCTGCCTGAGGGGAGTGGTTGGAATAGTCCATGTGCAGGGTGAGAGGGGTCGGCTGTGATACGACCAGCCCGGCCTCGAGCTCGGGCGACGTACAGGTCCTGCAGCGATGGAAGGCTGCGGCCGATCACTTCCTCTGCAGAGCGCACAATGCGCTGTAGTCTCTGTTTGTCCCTGACTGTGGCTCCAGCGAACCACACGGTGATGGAGGAGGTGAGGATGGACTCGATGATGGCCGTGTAGAACTGCACCAACATCTGTGCAGGCAGCTTGGCTTTCCTGAGCTGCCGCAGGAAGTACATCCTCTGCTGGGCCTTCTTGATGAGGGAGCTGATGGTCGGCTCCCACTTGAGGTCCTGGGTGATGGTGGTGCCCAGGAAACGGAAGGACTCCACAGAGGTGATGGGGGAGTCTATCACGGAGGGTGGGGGCGGGGGGACAGTGCTCTTCCTGAAGTCCACAATCATCTCCACTGTCTTCTGGGCGTTCAGCTCCAGGTTGTTACCACTGCACCAGGACACCAGCCGGTCCACCTCCCTCCTGTAGGCGGACTCATCGTTGTTGGAGATGAGTCCAATGAGGGTGGTGTCGTCCGCGAACTTGATCAGCTTCACGGAGTCGTGGCTGGAGGTGCAGTGGTTGGTGTACAGGGAGAAGAGCAGGGGAGAAAGAACACAGCCCTGTGGGGCTCCTGTATTTATAATCCGAGAGTCCGAGACATTCTTCCCCAGACGCACTCGCTGCTTCCTGTCCGTCAGGAAGTCAGTGATCCACCTGCAGGTGGAATCGGGCACGTTGAGCTGGGAGAGCTTGTCCTGGAGCAGGGATGGCAGGATTGTGTTGAAGGCAGAGCTGAAGTCCACGAACAGGACCCTGGCGTAGGTCCCCGGGGAGTCCAGGTGCTGTAGGATGTGGTGGAGGGCCAGGTTAATGGCGTCGTCTACAGATCTGTTGGCTCTGTAGGCGAACTGCAGGGGGTCCAGGAGGGGGGAGGTGAGGGACTTGAGATGGGAGAGAACCAGGCGTTCAAATGACTTCATGACGACAGACGTAAGTGCTACAGGTCTGTAGTCATTGAGTCCTGTGATCCTGGGCTTCTTCGGGACGGGGACAATGATGGAGGATTTGAAGCAGGCCGGGACATGGCAGGACTGCAGAGAGGAGTTGAAAATGTCCGTGAACACAGGAGTAAGCTCACTGGCGCAGTGTCTCAGAGTGGCCGGAGACACGTGGTCCGGGCCAGGAGCTTTGCGGGGGTGCAGCCTCAGGAAGAGTTGTTTAATCTCTTTAGCGGCTATTGTTAGGCTGGGGGCAGGGCTGATGGGTGGGTCGTTAGAGTAGTGGGGGGTGGGGGAGGGAGAGGTGTCAGGGGCAGCATCAAAGCGACTGAAAAATAAGTTCAGATCGTCAGCTAGCTTGTGGTCATCAGCACAGGGGGGGGCTTTGGGTTTGTAGTTGGTGATCTCCCGTAGGCCCCTCCAGACAGAAGCAGTATCGTTGTTACCAAACTGCTCCTGTAGTCGTTCTCTGTGCCGGGACTTGGCTGCTTTCAGTTCTTTCCTGAACTGATATTTAGCTGCTTTGTAGCCGCTGCGGTCCCCCTCCCTGAAAGCAGACTCCTTTGCTTTCCTGAGCTGCCGGAGTTTAGCAGTGAACCAGGGTTTGTCGTTGTTATAGATGACCCTGGTCCTTGTTGGAATGATGCTATCCTCACAGAAGTGGATGTATGACGTCACAGTGTCCGTATATTCATCCAAGCTGTCTGTGGCAGCTCTGAAAAGGTCCCAGTCTGTAGATTCCATGCATGCGCGCAGCTCTTCCACAGCTTCATCAGACCACACTTTGGAGCTCCTCACTGCAGGTTTCGAGAGCTTTAGTCTCTGTCTGTAAGCAGGAACCAGATGTATCATGGAGTGATCTGAGAAGCCGAGGGCTGGCTTGGGAACAGCGCGAAAAGCTCCGCGCACGGTGGTGTAACAGTGATCCAGAGTGTTCTCCTCTCTGGTCGGGCATTTGATAAACTGTCTGTATTTGGGTAATTCCTGGCTCAAGTTTCCCTTATTAAAATCCCCCAGGATAATAATCAGAGAGTCCGGGTATAAGCGTTCCATACACAGTACTTGCTCTGCGAGTGCGCGCTGAGCCTCGCGCGCGTCCGCGCATGGCGGTATGTAAACAGAGGCAAGAATGAATGAAACAATTTCCCGCGGGGAGTAATATGGTTTACAATGAATGAAAAGATATTCCAGAGCAGGAGAGCAGTGCTTGGAGATCACTGTCACATCGTTACACCAGTTTGTATTGACGTAGAAACAGAGCCCTCCGCCTCTGCTCTTCCCTGAGAGCGCACAATGGCGATCCGCGCGAAACAGCCCAAAGCCCTGCAGCTCCAGAGCGCAGTCCGGGATCCGCTCATTTAGCCAGGTCTCAGTGAAGCAGAGGACACAGGATGTGGCGAAGTCCCTGTTTCTTCTCATGAGCAGGCTGAGTTCGTCCATCTTATTGCCCAGTGAGCGTACGTTGGAGAGAAAAATGCCGGGGAGAGCCGTGCGCGCTCCTCTCCTCCTAAGACGCACGAGCAGGCCTCCTCGCTTTCCCCTTTTACGGGCCCACACTTTTTTGGCTAGAACATGAACTAAATCAGCCGCAGATGCCAAGAAAACAGGCAATAGGTCCATGGGAACGGTGGGTCGGATGTTCATAAGTTCCTCACGGGTGTAGGAACAGCCAGATGCACAGTTAAAAAGTAAAAACAAAAGAAAAAGAGAGCAGCAAAGAGCCATGTCGACCGTACGAGGCGTCAACCACCTGCCATGGCTTTGCTTGAAGAAATCTGCATTAGACCTACGAGTTTCTATTACTCAAAGTAAAACACCATTCACCCACATGATGGAGAGAGGTTTACAGGTGAAAATGTACAGAGGTGTACAGGTGAAAACCGTTCAAAAGTTCTGACTTCTGTAATTACATTCATACCATACACAAAGGGACATATCCCAAGCCTTTTGTTTGTTATAATATAGCTTATTTCACCCAAAAAAAAAGCATAACAAACGTACCGAGTCATAAATTAGGCTCACATTTATCGTTGAATCCAACAAGATAGGGTATTACTATCTTGTAGCTGAAGGACCCATGTGCTCAGGGTATTCTCACGGTACTGCAGACTAAACAAGACTAAATTCACGTGGGCTACCCAGAAATGTTCCCCATAGAACTCAATGTAAACTAAAACAGCTTGACCTCAGCTAAGACAGCATCTACAGTTTTTTCAGAAAGGTCGGACTTTGTGGGGATTTTAGTGTCCCTTGTCATCCTGAACTTTTTTTCTTCTTAAATCCCTTGGTCTTCTTTAGATTCAGATTCAGATTCAGATTCATTTATTGGCCATGTGCAGTATAAAAACTACATTGGAATACATTTGCAAAAAAAGGTACTCTGTGTGCACCGACAGAATAAAAAGCACGATACAATGTAATATAAAATACACATACACTGAATATAAAATAATAAAAAAAACAGCTGACACTGTGGCACCGATCAACAAAACGATACAAGGGGTAAAAGCAGGAATTAAAGTGCTCTGTTTAGGCACCTAACAGCCTGTGGAAAGAAGCTGTTAGCATAGCGAGATGTCTTGCATCTCAGCGACCGATATCTTCTGCCAGAGGGAAGAAGCTGGAACATGGCTTTCCCAGGGTGGCCAGAAGAGTCATTGATGATTTTAAGAGCTTTGTTTAAAAGTCTGGATTTGTAAAGAACCTCCAGAACAGGAAGCTCACAGCCCACGGTCCTCTTTGCAGAGCGGAGCACCTTGTTTAAAGCTCTCTTTTCTTTATCTGTGATGTTTCCAAACCACACAGACACAGAACCAACAAGTAAACTCTCAATGGTGCAGCGATAAAAGTTAAGCAGAATCTTAGAGTTAGTGGTAAATTCTCCGCAAAAAGTTTCCGCAAAAAGAAGAGCCGCTGACGTACTTTCTTAACGACTCGGTCAGTGTTTTTAACCCATTTCAGGTCGTAAGACAGAGTTAAACCCAGGAACTTGCACTCCTCTACGATCTGCACCTTGGAGTTGTCAATAACAACAGGAGTGTGAGAACTGCTACGACTGGTTCACATGTTTTTGCAGTGTTCAGCTGGAGATTGTTTACTTTATTCCACTGAAAAACATGTTCGATCTCTGCTCTATAAGAGGAATCATCATTGTCACTGATGAGACCGATGATGGTGGTGTCATCTGCATATTTGATGATCAAGTTAGAGTCAGAGGAGGACACACAATCGTGAGTGTACAAAGTAAAGAGCAGAGGACTCAAAATACATCCCTGAGGAGAACCAGTGCTCACAGAAACAACATCAGAAAAACAGTCATTGATTTTTACTCTCTGAGATCTGTCAGTTAAAAAGCTAAAAATCCAATAGCTAGTTTCTCACGAAAACTTGATGCTGCCTCAACTGTCCTCAAACTAGCTATCCGATAAGTCTCTGCTTCTACTGTGTGTACTACAAGTCACGCTGCTTCTATTGACGGAAGTGAGCGAGAGAGAAGTCTCCGGAGAGAAGTTAGTGCGCGGACGTAGCGATTACTACGCCTCACAATATAGTACCCGTTTTATCCGCTGAGAAAATCAACAGTTACATTTCTGTGTTACTATACTTTGCAGTGTAACACGTCACGTATCTATATACATTTAATAGGGAACACTTGGAAGAGTTTGGTAGCTTCTAGCGGGAGCTACCTTTTGGGTACTATACAGTATACAGAGGAGGCTGCGTTTGTGCTCCCGTTTTTGCTCTGTTTGCATGACAGAGCGCACGGACTAAGACCAGACGGGTACGTATTAACTAGTCTAAGGTAAGGTAAGAACATATGTCAGTATGTAAAAACGGTGAACTATTCCTTTAACTTTTGATTGATATTCTGATTTTCAGGCTTTCATATATCATTGCTATAGGCAAAGCATGCACGTACAGGAACACAATCTATCTTGAATGCAATGTAGAAACTATTTACTAGATGTTTAGCATCTAATTTAAGAATTATTACAACTGCAAGTCATATGTATTCAATTAAAAGTGTATTTACACATGACCTTTTTGCCCTCAGCATTCCAATTATTGTCTGACCACTATGCGCAGAATTAATTTCCTCACCTCTTCAGCCGAGCATGTTAAATACAATTATAATTATGAATAGCTGTCCTATGATTTTAATGAAAAAAATTGTTTAATAATCAACAATCCTCCATCATTATCCACGAAAGCAATCAGCTTTGAATGCAAATCTTCATCACATTTTCCCCATTGGTTTGCAGAGACAGTCTTTCCCACTCCTTACCTTGAATGTTCTCCGGATTATCAATAATGAAGTTGCCATTCCACACCACCGAGAAATCCACCGGCAGCTCACTGATTTTCATGCCCTCGTATAGATACTGTGAGACGAGATAAGGAGAGATTTCTGTGAAGATGGAGCAAAAATAGCAACACAAATCTACAACATTTTATTTAATGCTTCAGAAATCCCATAGAGGCTTTTTACAGAAGTACAATGTCCTCTCAATGTTACCCAAAAGTTACATCATCCTGCACAAAAAAAAAAAGCAGAGGACAAATGGTCCTCTTCTATGCCTGTTCTGTATACAATACTGTCCTTACATGCTTCCTATGACCTTATTTCCTTTCCTCGCTCAAAGCCAGGGATGTATGGTGTGTGTTCGCAGCTCCACGGGGGATAGAACCTCCCTGAGTTCATACTTGACTGGAGGGCAGGATAACTGTGCAATGTGATTACTAAGGCTGCATCATCCCACAAAAACAGCCGCACTTTTCACACCCGGATAGAAGCAAAGTTATGTAGTCGCCAATGTTATATCAGAAATATTATTTGGAACACAACATTGTTATCAAATCATTGTTATTGTAATCAAAGCCACGATTTTACACAGTATGCATGGCTTTCCATCCGTGGACTTTAACATTCTCATTCTGGAAGTGGATAGGATATTTCACAACAATGTAAACAAAGTAAAATGTTGTCAGTCACTATGAAAGCAGGTTGGTAGATGTTCATGACTTGCCTAGCGAAAAGAGTATAAAAAGTTACGTAGCATGGGGAAATTGCCACTTATCCTTAATTGCCAATAAGGAAAAGTTTAGAATGATAGTAGCTCAGTTGGTAGGGCATGTGTTAGCGGGTGTGAGACCAGCTCCCATTTGGTGATTGCTGCTGTGTGTTCTTGGGCAAGACCCTTAACCCTCATCGCCCCCAATATCCGTGTACACTGTGAAGGAATGGGTGATTACTTCCTTGATGTGATGTGCTTTGGGTGCTTTGAAAAAGTAGAAAGCGCAATTTAAATGTGACCAATAAATGCTATGTTTATTGGCGCATATAAATACTATATATATTTATGTGCGCCAATAAATATAGCATTTAATTTGAATAAATACTTTGTTTCTTGGCTTGTGGAAATGACGTCCCCTTTATGTGAAAGCCTGATCCTGTTAGATTTCAGAACTAAGCAGGGCAGGGCCAGGTTAGTACTGTAATGGGAAATCTCTGGGAACACCAAGGCCAAAGTGGGCTGGCTGCTGTTGTGTCCTTAGGTAAGAATCTTCACCTACATTGCCTAGTATGACGCCCTGCACAAGAAGGGCCAAAGTCGCCTCTTCCTTCTGAGGAGGCTGAGGTCCTTCGGAGTGAGCAGGCCTCTGCTCAGGACTTTTTATGACTCTGTGGTAGCTTCTGCCATTTACTACGCTGCTGTGTGCTGGGCCCCGGGCAGCACAGAGCGGGACAGAAACAGACTGAACAAGCTGGTCAGGAGGGCCAGCTCCACTCTGGGCTGCTCCCTGGACTCTGTGGAGGAGGTGAGGGACAGGAGGGTGCTAACCAAAGCCACCTCCATCATGAACAATACCTCCCACCCACTGCACAGGACTGTAGAGGAGCTGAGGAGCTCCTTCAGTGGAAGACTGAGGCACCCTTAGTGTAGGAAGGAGCGCTACCGCAGGGCCTTTATCCCCACCGCTGTCAGACTGTACAATAAGTCACTTTAAATGATCACTGTGTGAAAACTATTGACACTGTTTCCAATTGACACTTTTGTTGTACATAATTATTGTCACTTTATTGTACATATATATCCTGTATGTAACATGTTTGCACATTTCCTCCTTTTGCACAATGTGAGTGTTCTATCCATGCCAAATGTGACATGTAAATTTCTCCTATGTGAGATAAATAAAGCACATCTCTTATCTTATGAGTATGGTGTATGTGTAGTAGTAATCTTTATTTATATACCGCCTTTTCATTGCAGATCTGAGTCTCAAAGCGGTTTACAATTGTTAATTATGGGCATTTGTCTCTCACTCCACACAGAGATGGGAGCGGGGTCGCCAGTACAGGAGGCGCATGCCAGAACTATTGGACATATTTTTAGTGGTAGGGGAAACCGGAGTACCCGGAGGAAACCTACGCAGACACGGGGAGAACATGCAAACTTACTCAGAAAGGCCCTGGTCCGACCGGGATTCGAACCCAGGACCTTCTTGCTGAGAGGCGAGAGTGCTATCCACTCAGCCACCGTGCCGCCCCGTATGTGTGTGGATGATTGGTGGTGGTCGGACGGGCTGATGGCTCAGATTAGTGGCTTCACTTCAGGGCAGACATAGCCCGGTTGTACCACACCTTAGTACAAATTACATTTCACACTAAGGTCTGGATTTGCTCCATTGAGCTCCGTTTACAGGTGGGAGGGGTTAACTCCTTTTGCAGATTGAAACGATTGGATCTGAGTTTACCGTGATGTATGTAGTGCGCCTGAGAGTGTTGTTAGCATTTAGCCTAGCTTTAGCCATCTCCTTTGCTGCTAACGGAGCCCGTGGGGAGTAGCGCCAGCGATTACATTTGCTAAACATTGCTCTTGCTCCAGTTTCAATTTCTTGATAGAACCAGACCGGATTACTTTACTATCGCATTCTTCGCCATTACCAAACTACAACCTGCCCGTTCGGAGCGAACTCTTGACGTCACTGGCACCGACCTACAACACCCGCCTCTCTCTGAGTAGCCGGTCGAAATACGACCGATTGTATTCGCTAACACAGGGACCAGAACCAGACGGTTAAATGCAGTGAAATGATGATTGAGCGGAGTGTACGGATGGCTAAGGCCAGGCTAGGGCAGACATGGCTAAAGTAGAGGTTTCACCACTATGCATGTGAAGCGTCGTTGAATGTCCAAAAAGCGCTATGGAAGTACAATGCATCACTACATTATTGCCATTTGAGCAACTCAGGAAAAAGAACTATCATATCTCATGTTCAATTTTGGAGTAATTGTTCCATCTAAAGAGACATATAGCTCACTGTGCTATCTGCTATACTGTGAAAAATGTTATAGCAGATAGTTAAGTCTTACTCTTTTGTGTTTCTGTCTACCATAAAGCCCTGTATCTGGTATCAAGTATGGTATGTGGTTTCATAAATATCCTGTTTGCGTCCGTACCGAGCTGTTCTGACACTGCACACTGGAGGAGTTGAAGCGGAGGGCAGTGACGCGGTGGCTGACCCCCTGGATGTTGAGCACACACTCGTAGCCCCTCTGTCCGGACTGGGGCTGGGGCAGGTTCTTGGCCTTCAGGGTGATGGGCTTCACCTCTCCCGCCGGGATCAGAATCTCCTCCGAGCGCACCAGCTGAGGGCAGTCCTGGAGATTACACAAAAAAAGTTAGCATCTTTTGAATTCAAGCTTTTAATAATGCAGACTATAGTGGGCTTGGATAAACGCATTGGTGGAGCCACTTGCCTGATACAATATTTACTGTCTGAAACTTCACCATGTGTTATTCACCCACGGACTGCCTTATACTGTATGTTGATTTAGTCTTTCTTTCCAATACCTATGTGCTCTCTATTCTGTGTGTTTGAACTGTTTGATTCTCTGGTGTTGGAGACATTTTCGAGAGATTGAAGCAAACATTCATTCTAGCTGTGTTTTAATGGCTGTATGGATAGTATATGAAAGTATAATTTCTTGCAATTCAATTCAAAGTATTCTTGTATAGCCCTAAATCACAATAGTAGTTATCTCAGAGGACCTAACCAAACTGTTAAAATCGCCAACACAGACCAGAGAATCGAACAGTTCAAACACAAAGAATAGAGAACACATAGGTATTGGTCCATAGGGGGAGTTGACCAATGTCCAAAAGTGTTGATAAATGTCCACAAATTATGTTGAATGCTGAGTTTCCTGGATCATCACGACAGTCCTTGTTAGACCACCAACAGTCTAACAGAACCTCCTGCATCGGCAAGGACAAACAATAAAACCAGGGAGGTCCACATTGAGAGAGGGATCCGCTCCCACGGACGGACGGGCTGTAGATTCAGGACTCAAGCTCCTGAACGAGGACTAATGTTGTAGAACGAGGACAGGTGCGGTGCAGGACTGAAGCAGCTCCCAAGCAATAATTTCAATCACATTGTATATTAGTCATGTAGGGTTATATATTCTGGGGTCTATACATTCAATAGTAATTGCTCTAACAACATCCAGAAAATACATTTCCCAATTTTGCATTACAAATCTACAATCTACATCATCACACCTGCTTATCATTCATATAGTTTATACTAATTTGTTTGCAAAGTGCATGCACCTCGTCAAAATCCCAAATTTATTCAAATTAGACCAAATGATGGGGCTGAGTGAGGATAAAAAGTAAGTTTGCCTAAAAACAGCACTTGCATGACCTTGGACAGCAGACGGTAGCCAGCACGTTGGACAAATTCTAAGTGACATCGTGTGAAGAGTTTTAAAAGCAGCTATTTAAATCAGGGATGTGGGAGATTGACCGGGGAAAAGTGATTGTGTTAAGACACTTTAAACTTGGCAGATAATAGAGTACTAATTGCTAGAGCAAAGAACAAAAGGCTGGAATGAGAGGACGTTTGGACAGAGGAGTTTGGATGGATGTGTGGACGTGGACATGCCCTGAGGTCGGCCTGCAGTGACAGCAGAAGAGCCAGAAGAAAGACACAGTATACATTATTTATTCTATCCTTTCATCGTCAAGCTTTTTAGTGGATTTTACAATGTATCTTGCTTGCATTTTTATCATTATTATTATAATTATATAATTATGTTTGTTATTAATGTTTTCAAAAATGATATTCATACTAATATTCATAGTAATAATCAATATTATGACCAGACAATAATAGCAGTAGTAGTCACAGTAATAGTAGTAGCAGCAGCAGTAGCCACAGTAGTAGTAGTAACAGCAGCAGTAGCCACAGTAGTAGTAGTACTGTAGCAGCAGCAGTAGCCACAGTAATAGTAGTAGCAGCAGCAGTAGCCACAGTAGTAGTAGTAGCAGCAGCAGTAGCCTCTGTGTCTATGTGGTTTGGTAACATCACAGATAAAGAAAAGAGAGCTTTAAACAAGGTGCTCCGCTCTGCAAAGAGGACCGTGGGCTGTGAGCTTCCTGTTCTGGAGGTTCTTTATAAATCCAGACTTTTAAACAGAGCTCTTAGGATTGTTAATGACTCTTCTGGCCACCCTGGGAAAGCCATGTTCCAGCTTCTTCCCTCTGGCAGAAGATATCGGTCGCTGAGATGCAAGACATCTCGCTATGCTAACAGCTTCTTTCCACAAGCTGTTAGGTGCCTAAACAGAGCACTTTAATTCCTGCTTTTACCCCTTGTATCGTTTTGTTGATCGGTGCCACAGTGTCAGCTGTTTTTTTTATTCTTTTATATTCAGTGTATGTGTATTTTATATTCATTATATCGTGTTCTTTATTCTGTCGGTGCACACAGAGTACCTTTCTTTGCAAATGTATTCCAATGTAGTTTTTATACTGCACATGGCTAATAAAATGAATCTGAATCTGAATCTAGTAGTAGTAGCAGCAGCAGCAGTAGTAATAGTAGTAGCAGCAGCAGTAGCCACAGTAGTAGTAGTAGCAGCAGCAGTAGCCACAGTAGTAGTAGTAGCAGCAGCAGTAGCCACAGTAATAGTAGTAGAAGCAGCAGTAGCCACAGTAGTAGTAGTATCAGCAACAGCAGTAGACACAGTAGTAGCAGCAGCAGCAGTAGTCACAGTAGTAGCAGCAGCAGCAGTAGTCACAGTAGTAGCAGCAGCAGCAGTAGTCACAGTAGTAGTAGTAGCAGCAGCAGTAGCCACAGTAATAGTAGTAGAAGCAGCAGTAGCCACAGTAGTAGCAGCAGCAGCAGTAGTCACAGTAGTAGCAGCAGCAATAGTAGTCACAGTAGTAGCAGCAGCAGCATCAACATTTACCCTTGAACTAAAAGGTCAATCACCACGTGCCTAAGTCTGTATGTATTTATTCACGACTATTGAGATTCTCGACTTGTTAACTTCCCTTGACAATGTATTTACCTCCCGCCCCTTAATCACCCTGCCCATTCATACATATTCATACACTTTCAAACCTGTACTTAAAAACAATGTTGAATTCTTGATGACACATAATCAAGCATCTACATTTACTATTCATGTAAGCAATCACTACTGAATGCAAATTTAGAAGTCACATTTCCCACCGTTATCACCAAGTTTTGCCTCAAACCTGTAAAACCATTGTATTAAGCAATGTGGTCAACTTTTAACACTGGCCACTTTCACCACCTTCCATGCAGGATACATTTTTTATAATTATAAAAAAAAGAAAAAACAAGTGTGTATTGATCTATAATTATTTAAAACAAATCTCACCTCTACTTATACCTTTTTGTGGATTAACCCTTCAAAAAAATGCCATTTTTTATGACAAATGTATTATGAAACAGACAAACAATGTAGCCCTAAAAAAACTACACAGAAAAACAGATTGATTAAAACCAATTACAGAAATAAATACAAGAAAAATACGTAAGAAACAGGAAACGTAACAAATAGAATATATAGAAAGTCCCTACATAGATAGTGTCCTGGATTTTGCTACTTTGGCACTTAATTGGTTATATCCAATGGTATCGAAGAAACTGTTTGAAATAATCGTGATTTTTGAGCATTATGTTGTTCTCTTTGCTATAAAGGAGCAAAAAGAAGCTATTTCACGACATCGTTCTTCTCCTTTCCCAATAGTAAACGTAGTTTGTACTGACCTCTGAGGCGTTGACCCTCCCCTCCTGGAAAGAGCAGCTGGACGGGTCATGGGTGCACAGGTTTCGGTATTTGCACCAGTGGCACCGGAAGGCACTGTTCACACACGACAGACACCTGCAACACAAACGCACACACACTCAGCCTTGTGTAAAAACTCAAGGGAGTCAGAGTTTGCCAAAAAATGGAAGAAATAAGGGAGGGGGGAAAGTCACAAAGGAATGAGTGCACGTCCCGAGTGGAGCCGGCTGCTGTTGTGTTGGCACTGAAGCCAAACGCTGCAAAGGTTCATTTGATCTCATGCATACATTTGCCATATTAATGCAGTGTGTCAATTGTGTGAGGCTGGAATGGGAGGCCAAGGACAAAGAGGAGAGAGGCAGCGGACGGTTGCCCTAAACAGGCCTTGGTTTAGTGTTGGTGTTGTGCTAAATGATTTCTGTTTTGAGTTATTACATGTATGTATTTTGGCTAAAATCTTGGTCTTTTGTCCTGGGCTGAGGTGTATATATATTGACATTTTGTTGCCATTTCAATATTGGAATTTGTGTTTAATAGTCACAATCTGGTTAAGATTAGGGTTGGGGTTAGGAACAGCTCATCAGGTGTAGGTTAGGGATGAGGACAAGGCGAGGGCTAGCTTCCAGCGGGACAACATGCCAAGATTTTGAGGAGTCACAGGTTTTCAAGTTTTTTTCAAGTTTTTTTTATTTAATTGTATTGTATTTATTGTCCGTTTATAACGAGGGAAGTTTCATCATAATTTCAGAAAGTCTTTGTCAGAGATAGGAGAAATTTCAAGTTTATAGTTTGGCCACAATCACTGCTACTTTTTAATGTTTCCAAACAACTATTTATTTGACATGATTTGGAGAAATGTAATGTATTATTCATTTCTTTTTGAGAGTTCCTAATCATAAAAAAACGTACTCTATGGTTGTAGAGTCGATATTTGCACTTATTACTGTATCAATTTGGTTTAGGAAGAGAGGTTGAACCCTTTAATGCATATTATACATTACACAAAATGTATCAGAGAACTTCTTTTACCAATTTATTGTAAATGCTAGCTATAATCATATTAAAAACATATTTACTCATATTGTATTGATCACTCCACTCAGACCCAAGTATCAACTAAAATTCCCAATTGTCCTGTATTATGTTTTAGACCTGGACACATTACACCTTGTTCAGAGTTTTAGAATGAGCTTTCGTCCCGCCATAGTTTGAGATTAGACCAAACAAAACTAAATTCTCCAAAGATTTGAGTGTATTTCATTAGTTTCCAATATAGCCAAGAAAACAAGTGTAAAAAAAAGCCCTGTGGTACAAATGTGAAGTGATGAGGCAGTGTCGCAGCTTATTCTTGCAATTAGCATTAGTCTTGCATTGTTCAAGAGTGCAGTAATTACAGCCCGGAGGTGTTTGTGCAAGCAGCTTTTATGTAGATGCACCGAGTATAGATCCCATGTACACAATTACTTACACATTTAAATATATCATTTTTTCCCCTTGGAAGGCACTGATTGCAGAAAAATTGCAACTGTAAAAGCCATTAAAGGTACTTAAAGCAATGGGGAGCTCAAGGAAAAGCTTTTTTCTTTATGGACTGTATAGACTTTGACCCTGAGCTCATTCAAGAGTAAACTAGTTATTTTCTGTTTTTCGTTAAGTTGTGTCTCTATTTCTTAGATGTCTCGATGATGATAAGTTTTGTTGCACTATTTCTGTAAAGCACATTGCGTTGTAGTATTGTATGAATATGAATACATGTCCCTCCTTTCTTTTATGGAGGCCCCAAAAATACCTTGAAAACATGCAGAGAGAGGGATCGCCTTCTCACTGATCTGACTCAGAACTTGGACTTGGTTTTTAATAGTGGGTAACGTATTTGTTTTGGCAACACAACACCAAGTGGGTTGGATATTATCTGGATAGAGAGTTTCTAGCTTAAACCCATCTCCAGGGCCTTTGGCAAGAGCTCCGGTGCACACTGGGGTAGTCTTGCACAGTTTTTCCAATGTGGTTTTACTGCAAATGGCAAATCTATTCTTGAATCTTGAATTTTCCTTTAAGATCTAAATGTTACGTGAACAGACAAATCCTCAGCCTCTAGGAAAACAACAGCTTTCTCAAAAGGTCTTTTTTTTTCCATCGGTTGCCTATAAATCCACACTCAGCTCGCTCTCGTCCCGTTCTAACACTACTGACTCGATTAGTCAGATTGCTCACAAAAAAAAAAAACGTGCTCGAGCATCAGAACAACGTGATCGAGCGCCACTGTCCGAAGTCAGCTGTAATTGGTCGAAACGCTCACGTGTTACTCTGGTCTTGCCGAACTAGAACCACTGCAAACCTACTGCACAAGACCAGGAGAACCAGAGCTGGACAAAATGCGTCACTTCCGCTAATGTTCGGAACGTCCATGGTGCGAGCATGAGCCAATGAGCACAAGCCATTGATTGATGAGGTAATGTATTATATTGTTGCTATATATTTTTTTTATTTTGTGCAATAACTATCTTGTTTTTGTGGTGGAAAAACATAAAATGAACAATAATGCTGCGCCTATTTCATTGTTTATCTCGTCATGTGTTAAATAAATCAATAAAAACACATATATATGATAAAATGGACAAGCAGACTTTGAATATCTGAAAAAAAATCTGAAAAATAATATGTTCTATATGGCCGCCAGTCCTAATCATTCCGCCTCATGTCTTATCCATCACGTCATGCAATTTCACATGTTTTAATTCATGAGGACGACGCTCATGCTTCCTTTACGTTCGCACGTAAAGACCTCACAGCGCACATTAGCTATTGACACTTACAACGCTGCGTTCAAGAACAGCGGGAGACTCCCTTTGTGCGTTCTTTCATCGCCCTGAGTTATGCAGTTATGCGTTCTGTCATTGTGAAATATTCATCGGTGCACATGCGAGGAGCCGACTCCGCAGAGAGTGGAGCCGCTTCAGGCTGGTGCACGCTCAGTTTGTGCGGCTGCAGTGGAGACGACAGCTCTAGATGCGCATGTGTGTTAGCTCATTACATAAGCTGATCCATGAGATGATAATTGCCCTTTGTGTTGCTCAGACAGGCCCGCATATACAGTAAATACTACACACGGTACGATGCACTGGTTTTTTCAGCAACAGAGGTGATACTTCATTAGAGAACTTCGGAATCTGGGGTATATAACTTTCAAACCACAACAAAATGCAACTATATCATGTGACATTCCTCACACTAAAAACTCTATCATGAGTTTTCACGTGAATGCATTTTGGCCTCAGTCATAACTTTAGCTCAGCTTTTTCAGACAGAAAAGTGAAATCGAGAGGACCACCCACCCTCAGTCAATTGGTGACTTGTTTTGCTCTTCTTACAAGGATGCAAAAAAATATCTGTTTTCTAACAAGATGAAGACAGAAAGTTTGATTTGTTCACAACATTTTAAGTACTACATGTATTCATTAGGCCTTACATTTCTTTGTGTTTTGAGGCATCACTGTATTTCCTTTAGATTATTTAGGCCATGACAAGACATTTTAAGACTTGTTCTAAATCTTGATATGGACCAATACCAGGTTGAGTCACAAGTCGAATCGGAAAATTGGACTGACATGCTTACTTTGGGTTGCCAAGCCTGGGTTGTTCAATAGCCTTCAATTATCTTTAAAGAGGTGTCGTGACATGAGTTATTGATACATTGCTAGTTTCTTAGTCTCAAACATTGATAGTAAAATGAACCCTGAATAGAGAATATAATCTAGGTCCTGTCTGGTGCCCACATACAGACATTACTCAATTCTGGCTCGTTAACCAGACAGTGCAGAGTATTTTGTCACTTACAGAAGTTCTATTCAGGACAGCAGTCGTGTGTCTTCCTGTTCCAGCATTCAGGCGCTCCAGTTACACCAAGATATTTTTAGGAAACTTTGGGGCGCCTGAGGTTGAGGACAAGTTGTAACTAATTCTCCCAGAATCGATGCAGCGGTTTGGGGCAAAGGCCGAGTCTGCAAACGGGATGAACGAGCGTGGAGGAGGCAGAGGAGGAGAAAGGGGAGAGTGGGAGAGAGGGAGTGCTCGGGGAGGGTCGTGGAGGGGTACTCACAGCTGGTGGACGCTGCAGTTGTAGAACTTGACCTCGGTGCTGATCAGCATCTGCCCTGTCTCTTTGGAGTTGAGACGCAGTTCTACTCCAGACCAGTCTGAGGACACACAGAGCATAAGGAATGGGATTAGAATAAGATTTACCTTATGCAGACTTTGCCACAGGTGCTGCAATAAATACTGCAATAGAAAATAAGTTCTAAAGAGACAAAAGCCTTTTCTTTTTTGCTCCACAGAGAAAAAATATTTTCTATCAGCAATAAAACTTACTCTAAAGTCATTGTTTTTTTTCATAACTGGTAGTGATACAATTAAAGTGACTTGATCATCATTTATAAAATATAAAAACATAAAAAATAATAAAAATCTTCTAAATGATTTTAGAATATGCACTTGAATCCATTCAAAAATAACTTGGAAGGAATTATAATCAGTAACATCAACACACAGGCCTTTATTTGCAGATATTGTACACTGAATTTAAACATTATTTGTTATATTTTATCAGAAAAGACAGCTGAACTTAACAATATTGACACGTAATCAATATGTCACCACATTATTGGCTTTGCAGTACCGACAATGACCACAAGGAGCCTAGCTTATGTGAAAGAAAAATGCGTGACACAACACCATGTGCTTTTTATGCTTGAATTCAGATCACTAAATGCCAACTCAACACAGACACACACACGCACACACACACAAACACGCAAACACAAGCAGACCTCAGTAGCATGTAAATAAAGCTCATTTAATTGTATATAGGTCAGTGACAGTACAGTAAACATCCCCATCCACAAGTATTCTCTGATAGGACTGCATTTTCTCTACTACTTTGGTCGACCATACAGCACAAGCTTACAGGGCTCAGTGCAAAAACACTCTCTCATCCCTCCCACGGGACTCTGGGATCCATAAATAAGTGTTTGTGTATATGCATGAGATGAGTGAGTGCATTTCAGATGACATTCAGCGTGTGGGCGTCCAGGATGACCCTCTCTGCCCCTTTCTCCGCTCAGCACCTGTTGGAAATCAGTTCTGATGCTCACAAGTCTGGAATAACACCAACCCCGTGATGAGATGCTTATTTAGACTGGTCCTGGAAGGTAAGGCAAATCTGTGCGGTGTTGACTGTAGGGACATGGTAGGTGATTGAACATGTAGCCAGGTTAATAGGTTTTGTCACCAGCATGCTGAAGGTGGATAGAAATAGGAAAGTCTTTATGGTATTATTAAGAACCTTTACTTTACCACGAGTACAGAGCAGTAGTAGACCAGTAGAAGGAATGGGACAAAAGCATAGAGCAGCATCAAAACAAATATGTTTAAAGGTGCAGTAAGCGATTTTGTTAGCTTAGCCGTAGCACCCTCCCCTCCCCTAAACACTAAACCAAACATCCAGCATTTTCTTTTCTTTGTCACAACAGGGCGAGTGGGCGATTTTCTGTTCAGCCCTTTTAGGTTTTAGAAAATCCGATAACTCAGGTGCGTGCACTCTCGAGAAACAGGAAGAGGGTGAAGGGGGTTAACGCATTGGTTCGTTGGGGATGAACGATTCCCATTGGTTTATTTTTATCCCTCCGCTCCAAAATATTTGTTAATTTAATTTTTGGAGACTATAGGTATCTGGTCAATTCCATCACTATTTGAAAACACATGATAACTTTTCCCACAAAATTTAAAAAATTAAGTCTGGAAAAAAATCACTGACTGCATCTTTAATGGTATATCCTGGCAGCCCTAAAGCCAGTGGTGGAAGGAGTACTAACATCTACGCACTCAAATAAAACTACACATAATTATTGGAAACACTGTAATCATGTGCAATACTGAAATTTAAGAATGTCCACTGAATGTCACTCTATCTACTTATTATCTTGTTCGTAATATGTATTTAACCTTGCACTATGCATATATAGATAGATTGATATTGAAGCATTTATAGCTAGCTAAGAATCATGGCAGCTAATTATTATGTATATTCTGTGTGCTCCCTGTGTGCTCTTACTGCTGTCTTTGTATTTAGATTAAAATGTGGATCGATAAAACAGTATGAAGATCCTCTAATAAAACACCTGATTATTATAAGTTTTAGCCAATCAAAACAATTATACAATACAAACAGTTACAATATGCATTGGATGAAACTTGTAAATGATGTAAACTTTGTTAAATATCGGAATATTATGCAATCTTCTTAACGTAACAAACTACAATGATGTAACTAGACTATCTGATAAATGAAGTTCAAAATATGTTTATTTATAGTATAATCATTGAATATATTGTTTTAGGAGAATAAATAATTAACAAAAACGTATTGATGAGTTATTATCAAAACTAAAATTTGATTCAAGACTTTTTTCCCACCAACTCATAAAACATTCTATATATTTTCTAAGGACTAGTTCAAATTCAAATACACTAAAAACACAACATAAAAAAATGAAATTGCAATAAAATAAATACGCCTTAAAATACAATAACTGATGACTGTTGCCCCACGGGAAAAACATTCTAACACCTTTTCCGTCTTTACATCTCCTCTCGCCGTCTTCCTTCTGAACATTGGCCTCTGAGGATCTCTCCACACCCTCCCTCCTACCACTCGATTGGCGTTCCGGCGAGGAAAGTGCGTGTTCATTTAAAACACATCAGCAGAGTCATTTTCGTCTCCCGCCTCGCCGTCACTTTTGATTCGCCCGACCATCTTGTTATCCTTAATGTCCAGCTCTGATCGAATTTGCCGCTATCCCTCAGGTCATCGTCGCGGCCGAATCAATGCGCACAGAAGACAGGCAGAGGTTTTCAAAAAAAAAAAAGTTGGGAGGAACAGAGAGGTATGAATGGCTTAAGATGGAGCATACAGATGGGGGAGAACCCTGGGGAGACACGGCAAGGTGAACACACACACGTCCAAACACGTGGCGGGAGATATTGGGGTGTAATGGAAGGCAGATGGATGTGGGAAGAAGGTTACAAAGGGGAACTGGCTGACATTTACCTGGGGGAGGACATTCATATTAGAAGACCACCCCCCCCATACCCCAATCCCCAAGGGAGATCTGGGCAAACAAAGCTGTCATTTACTCAGTGAGAAGTGTGGATTACAGACACACAAGGCAAATGAAATGAAAGGCTTGATGCAAAGACATATGGAGATGCCAACCAATGATAAATATAGATTAAAACAAAACAAATATGTTGTATGCGACTCTAGGGCGCTGTTCACCTGTAGCTGTCTGGGCTAATATTGGATGATCATAGAAGACAAATATATATACAGACATAATCTTGAGAATATATTTGTATTGTCTGGGGAATAACATGTAAAAAAGGTCTGTAAAGTGGGCTGAAATCTATTTGGTAATATACAAAACAGCCCATCCATAGTTTGAACTGCTGCAGGATGCTATAGTTGAGTTTGTGTCTGTCTTCTCTCAAATCTGGCTTTGTCTTCTGTAACTTGCTACTTTTCAACCACATTTTCTTCATCTGATTTCTCTTGTCGAACATTGTTTTTCAAGGTTTTTTGCAATATAGTCATACCAGATGCTCTCCAGATGGAAATAAGCCAAAACATAATCTAATACTACGGCCTGAAGATGGCAATTATGGAAACCTTCTGAATCAAAAACTTCTATAAGCACCATAAACATCGAAGCTCCAGTTCATATCTGTATGTAGCTGACAAATAGATAAAATTGTTTCAACTTATGGCACTGAAGGCAGTTTTAAAAGCTATGCACTTCCATAAATTGGCTTTAAAAATAGATATTGTTGTAACTTGTTTTCATTTTCATGGAATTCTTCAAGCTTTTTTCCACCTCAAGACGTTCAGTTGTTCTAACATGCCTCAACTATGGACATGCAGAGTTTACAATGCATCGGTTTTACACAGCACTTTTCAGGACACTCAAAGACACTTTACAGACGGTGGTGGTAAACTACTACTGTAGCCATAGCTGCCCCGGGGCACACTGACAGAAGCGAGGCAACCAGTACACATCAGACTCATTCTAGCCAATCTGGGTGCAGTGTCTTGCCTAAGGATATAACACCAGTTTGGCAGTTAACAGCTGCAGTCAAGTTTATCTTGTAATTTCAAAAGTAATCTAAACCTGTTCATTATGATTTCATTAAATTGAAATGAAAACGTGAAAAAAGTAAGTCAGAAATGTCCAATATCCCCGGCTTATCGAGCTGGAGCAGCCATGAGGCGCTCTGGGCAAACAGCAGTGCCATTTACCCATTCAGAAGCATGGATTACCAGACTCCCAATGCACACACACACAGACACACACACACACACACACACACACACACACACACATAACTCACCTCATCTATTATTCAGGCCGTTTGCTATTGTCGCCCTGCAGCCATTTTCGGGCTCAAACAACAGGTGTTGGGATTCATAATGAAATATATATGTTTGCAAATAAACGGATGGCAAAGTCACGCCGCTGCTAAATTTATGGAAATGTGCTGGAGGAATATTGCAAAAGGTCATGGTATTTCAATGTGAGCTATATTATGAGGGATTATCATATTTTTTGCAAGCTTTTGGATGATTAATTTTTGTTGTTGATATTTACTGTCGAGACTATTTAAGGTTATGTGAAAGGATTGTTTGTGGATCTGCAGAGGCAATGCGCTGAAGATGGAAGTCATTATTTTTCATTGAGACGATTAGTGGGAAGGTCAAAAGCAAGAATTATTAATGATTACCATTTTGTTTTTGTTTTTTTTAATAGTACAAACACTGGACAATCACATTCTTCACACTTTCACAATGGCATAATGCAAACTGAGCTAAATGCACAATCCCATAATGCTTTGCTGGCCTGGCGGGTTATCAATCTAATGCACATAATTATAAAGCGACCATATAAGAGCCTAATATGCCTCTATTCACACATGGGGTGACAATAAATCTCAAAAGATGCTTCGGATGCCATATTTCAAGCAACTGACATGTTGAGAAACTGAAATTGAAATGGGAATATTGCAGTGGGTTCGACAGTTTGAACTGAATGAGCTGTGCAAACAGAATGGCAAGAAAAGTACAGACCTTAATGCAGTATTCATTTTAACCAAAAAAAAAAAGAAAAAACATATTGAAAGACGCATCTAAAACTGGTTGAAATGACTATAGAAAGATTTTATTATTCCCAACAATAACGCATGGGTTTTATATTGTGCTTTTATATTTATATTTGCTGAGTCCATACACGGTGGTTAGGGTTAGAGCTACTGGGAACGACTGACAGAAGTGAGGCAACCATGTATGTGCCCCCTGACTACGACATATCATTTCCGCACACACATCAGATCCATTCTAGGCAATGTGGGTGAAGTGTCTTGCCTAAAGACACAACAACAGTTCGGCACTTTACAGCCGCACCCGCTCCACTGTGGCACCTGGTGTTCCCAGAGGTCTCACATCACAGTCCTAACAGGCCCCGCCCCGCTTAGCCTCAGAGGTCTAATGTTAAAGCTTCCGTGAACAAGAACCACCAACACCCATTTCATCTACACCTACCATTTTTTTCTGCACTCACTTATCCATGATTACATCTAAAAATAGTGCAAAGCTATTTTTCAACGTCAAAAACACGTATATAGAAATCTGCTGCTGGCTACAATGAAATCCAACTATGGGTAGGCGGTTCTTGAGGCTGTTAAGCAGTTCTAAACCTGCAAGCTTTTATCGATCAATAATGCTGCATACTGTATGATGAACAAAACCCAAATAAAAGATTGATCCATGTAAGGTTCGGTGAAACACAGAAGTACAATAAGTCTCTGTACCTTGGTCTGTGGGGATGAGTGGCACGTCTTTGGCCGCGGGGGACACACACAGGATCTGGTTCCCGTTGACCTGGCCCTCCACCTCGGTCAGGTTGCCAAAGGAGCAGGTGATGCCGACGGAGAGGTCTGGAACATCGCTCACCTTCACCAAGAGCTGTAAACAAGCCGCAGGAGAACAATGTGATTTTTATTACGTCCTTCAATTATTTATAGATGAACATAAACCGAAGTGCAATGGCTGGTCTTATTGAAGAGTGCAAATCATTCAGTTAGGTACAAACATGTCTTTAGTTTCTTTGGTTTGAAGATGTTTGCTACATCAATGTGTAAGGCGTTGTTTTCAATATAGGCTGTGTTGAATTCAATGCATGCAATAGGCTGTGTTCATGTTCTAGAAGTCTGTGTCAGTTGGAGGGCATGTGCCAATACAACTCCGTGGGCAATTATTGGAATGGAACTTTGCAAATGTGTTTTGAAGAAGAGGCCTGTACAGCTTACAGTTGAATATGTCATCACAAATTGAACTAATTATTCCCACACATGTCTTAATTGCAAGAAAAAAAAAGTGTGGATTTATTATGCTGTTAAGATATCTTCCTGGTGCTCATTTAATATTTGCTTGATGATGGCTTAAGTGTTGAATCCAAATGTTGTTCCAGGTCATTATTTCATAGGGATTATACTGAGAAACCCATCATACTACAATATCATTATGTCTGAAAGTCCACTGGCCCACATTATGGATATCATTCTTTTATATTGTCACCACTTAAAGCACTTAGAGCACTCCGGTCCACAGACACCAACCTCCTCTCCATCCCCAGAACTAAACTCCGGACAATGGGTGACAGGGCTTTCCAGGCGGCTGCTCCCAAACTGTGGAACGCCCTACCACCACACCTGAGGGCCCCACAGTCATTGGAGAACTTCAAAAGAGGACTTAACACTTTTCTGTTCCCTTCTTAACATTGTTTTAACATTGTTTTAACATTGTTTTAACATTGTTTTAACTTTAATGATGTGTGCTTTTATTGTTGTTGTTCTTTAGCACTTTGAGATTTGTATGTAAAGTGCATTACAAATTAAAGGTATTATTATTATTATTATTACTTCTAGACCCATTTATGAAAGAATGAGTCATTTGTCATTTACTAACAATAAGGCCTTTGTTACAGATTTTTGTTTCACATAGACTGGCTCAGGAATGACAGAAAACGTGTATGAACTTTTGAAACTAACCATTGTGGTTGTTGTGATGTCACATCTACGTAGCACATCAGATCTCAAATTTACATGAATGCCGGTTGCATTGACTCATATTATTATTTAAAAGAATCATATGAAAAATCTATGCTGTCTGTTGAATGAGTCTACCTCATTATAAACATGTGTTGCTCATGGATTGAGTACAGAGGCAATAATGTGTCACCTTTACCTCATATTCCCGCCCACTTACCATCTACTTAATTGCAAATATAAGCACAAATATTGTTAGAAAATGCAATGTAGGCTGCTGAAAACCAATGCCCACGGACACACACACAACATACCCAAACTCAAATACTGCAATCATTGACACAAGATGACATAACATTTTGCCACCATTCAAAAGTTCACCGTGCCATTTCCTTCCTTCCTTGCATTTCTATATTACATACATCAGCAGACATCAAAGCCAAATTGAAATGCAGACATATAGAAAATACGTACACACATCAGCAATCCCAGGCTAAATTAGCTCCAGCGTTCACAAAGCTAACACAAACAGCACACGTTAACCGTTTGAAGCCTCCCTCCAGAGAACGGTGACACTAAAGACGGGAGCCTTCAGCTGCTCTGCCTATAAATACATGCATTCTGCGCGCTATTCGGCTCTCTCGCACTCGCCTGGATAATTATCACTGTGCGTTCCTCTGCCTTCTGCCATTAGCTGTTATTTTGGGGGTCCGTAGCCATTTGAAGTCTTATTCTTTGTTTTATCTGCTTTTCTCAAAACACCGCAGGGCTGCTGGGACATTGAGACGCTTAACTGTAGCTGCTTCGCTTGTTAGTCCGTATAGTCGTTCAGACCGTAATCCCTTTCTCTTGTCGCCTGTTTTAGATTGTTTGTGTTGTTCTACGCTGAGGTGTGCGGCAGCAGAGGCTTGATTACAGCAATCACTGCAATCATTGTCCTTTGTTCGAGTCACGTTTCTCTGAGTAACCTCTCACATTAATTAGCTCTTTCCAATCTGCCACGAACGCACAACGGAATACACACACAACATTTGCGGGAGTGCTGGTGCTTAGCTTTTTCTTTTTTTCGAACACAAAATGGCATTGCTGGCAGGATTTTGGGACTAATTAGGGTTCTGTTATAAGGTGAGCTGGTTACTCCGACCTCTTCCAAGTTGTCATGGAGAACGCAATTAGTAAACGCTGAATGTGTGTTGAAATTAGGAGGTGGAAAGACCCAGAGAAAGGTCAGGGTAACACAGACATATCTAATCTTATCTTGAGATGACTCATTATTCCTTTATTTCAGTTTGCAAGTGGCTGTTCAGGGGCTTACCAAGTACATGTGTTATGTTAATATAACTGTTATAAATTAATGATAGACATTGTGCACCAATCCTGGATTAATATTATATGATAGCTGCACAAGCTGTTAAATACATGTTAATCACGGCAAGATATTCCCCTAATAATCATTCAGTGATTTATTTTGGAGAGGCTCTCCCTGTATTGTAGCCTGGTCTTACCACACCATTGTACTAATTTTATTTTGTACTTAGGTCTGGATTTGCTAAATTAAGCTCAGTTAACAGGTGGGAGGGTTTAACTCCAGATTAAAAACTGCCAAACTATAACCAGCAAATTTGGTGCAAACTCTTGATGTCACGACACGTACCTACGACACCGCCTCCCCCGCTCGCTGAATGGTCGGAGGGGATTCAACCGAGGTAACTGCAGCCACTAAGACCAGACCCAGATGTTCATGTAGGGAAATGATAATTGACCAGAGTTTACAAATGGCTAAGGCCAGGCTACTTTTTATTGTATTTGTCTGATGACCAAAAGTTGGTAAAGGATCGATGTCTTTTCTTGGTCATATCTACTTGACAACTGTCTATAACAATGAAAAGTTTCTAGTTGAAAGCAGCTTCGCTTTTACTTATTTTTCAACACCCCACAGTCAAAAAGCCTCCATGTAAACGATGATATTTACCGCACGTCCACATGTGCAGAACCGTGTGAAATAGTGCCAGGCCTTCTCCCTTCTCTGCCTCTCCATCCCTCCATCTCTCTCTGCCCGAGTGGAAACGCTGCACCCTGCTCCCCCCGACTCCCACTCACGGCCCACGCAAACGTCTTGGCACACGTATTTACTGGCGGGTAAGTGAACATATGCACACTGAAACGCCCACGTGTGCTGCTCTCCTCACCCTCTCCGACTAATGTTTATGCATCACCACAATCAAATCCAGACAAACTGCTACGTGGGATCGCTTACCAAATGCGATCTGCCTCTGCGTGGGAAGAAGAAGTGAAAGATAGTTGGATGATTTTTTATTATTATTTTTTTTTTAGAATGCCAATTTGTGTTGAACAGAGATGGGGCGTTTGCGATTGAATGTTTTGGGAGTGGTGAGTGAGTGGTTGGTGAGTGAGTGGTTGGTGAGTGGTTGGTTGACTTACAGGGACACTGGGCTCTGACACGGCGATGCTGTCTGGGTAGACGGTGGCCTTCACGCACTGGTTCAAAGATGCAGCAAAGCGGTACGGCTCGTCGGCACGTTCACACCGGTTCCTCTGGGAGCAGCTGTACAAGAGAAAAGATTAAGTGAGTGTGAGTTTGTTTCAAAGAAAATTGAACATGGTAATATTGTGGTGTAATTAACAATGGAGATGTCTGCAACTACACCACCCTAGCCAACGGGTACAGTGCAGTGTGTGGAGGATGGACAAAAAACAAAGTCGGACCATCTGTAAGTATGCTGAGCAGCCGTCTGTGTCCATTGATCTGAAATATGTTATTGTGTCTACGATTTCATATGTTCTAATTACCTGTTTTTTAATTGTAATATTTTAACTAGCTTTTGTGAACATGTCTGTATACTTTATATTGTAATGTTTTTTTTGGCATTTACAACCTGCCAAGAGACTACAGATGGAAACTAAGTGTATAGCTAATACTGACACATTTACATTTATGTTGACTGATGTGTTCTGTTCCTTTTCCAATAAACACACAGTAACACACTTAAAGACGTTTCACATGGAATTATTCATTCGCTCCATACATGATGGTGATAAGCTACAACTGGAGCCACAGCTGCCCATGGGCACACTGACCGACGCAAGAAAACCAGTATGTGCCATGAGACCCTCTGACCGCCAACGATTCACGCACACACCAGACTCATAATGGGTTATGTGGGGGAAGTGTTTTGCCTGAGGACACAAGAACGGTTTGGCACTTTACAGCTGCAGCCACCCCAGTGTGGCACCATGACGTTCCCAGAGGTCTCCCATCACTAGGCCCTGTCCTGCTTAGCTTCAGAGGTCTGATGGGATCTGGAGTCATTACTTGATTCAAAGCAATTCAAAGAAAACTACAAATGTATCGCAAAAACACTATACAAATTCCTTGTTCTTGCATTGGGCAAAAATCACTAGTAGATCCATCAATGGAAAAAAAAACCATAAGTGACATAGCTTAATTAAATCCACAACCGATTGGCGACCCCGCTCCCATCTCTGCCAGACAAATGCCAAAAAATAACAATTGTAAACCGCTTTGAGACTCAGATCTGCAGTGAAAAGGCGGTATATAAATAATAAAAAAAAAAAAAACGTACAATTAAACCTATTGATCGTGTGTATGCTACAAGAACAATGACTATGCCCTGAGGCACAATACAACAATAGGTTTCCTTTTAGAGATGCAGCAGAATCATCCAATATATTCACCAGCTCTTGAGTTATGATGTCAATGAAGTACATTACTGGAGGAGTCAAAAAATAAAGCGTACACATTGTATTGAGCACTAGAACGTTAAGACTGAGCATACCTTCTGAAAAAAGCACCAAACAACAATATATGAAAAAGTAGAGTTGTATAAGTAAAGCATTGATGCATGGGTGTCAGTGTTTACGTATGGGAAAGATGAACTGTTATTTATTTTGCAATAACATTCCAATCAGGCATGTTTGTGACTTAATGAAAATCATTCTGATTAAAACATCTACAATAATAAGCATCAGTCTGGAGAGTTAACTTTTAAATAAATGGCAACAACATTGTGGCGCCACTTGCATATGAAAGCCAGATCCCGTCAGATGTCAGAAGCTAAGCAGGGCCTGCTTTGTGTGTGTGCAAATGATTGGTGGTGGTTGGAGGGGCCAATGGTTTCCTCGGTTATTATATAGCTACATCAAAGTGCCCTCAACCTGCAACTTGCATTCATCAAATCTTCACTCATCCTGGATCAGTCTACATAAAAGCACAGTATATTTCTTACATATGTTCCATAAATTAGCTTCATAAAGTGCTCTACTTCACATTCAATTAATGTGCCTGCCAGTTTCAAAGTGGTACATGACCAACCACCACTCAGCACGAACATAATTACTTCAAAACTTTAGAGACAAAACAAGCACTAATTAGTAACTTAATTATTGCATATAAATTGTGACCATCTTACAAAAAAAAAAGAAAAAAGTAAATCCCTATGCATTCTCATTATAACTCTGTACAATCATTATTACCCCACCGGCTCTCTGTCCTTATCCAACCCTGCCCTTATAATGCCTGGCTAACTGGCTGTCTGGTCACTGCAGCTCTAATTGGTCCGGCGTCCAAGGTAATTGGTCCGGCGCTGTCCAAGGTGCTGATTTGCCCCATGAGCATTTGCTACTACAGTCTGTTCAGTGTTAGCAGTGGCATAAAGGCTGCTTCATGCTTCCTTACCACACACAAAACTACAAACTACATCTTCATCCTTAGCCTTAGCCGAGTAATTACGTTGTCAGGAGTCGGAGTATGAATCCGACAGAAGCCTCACATGAGCGGGCACGGGCGCAGCATGGCGGGTGCGTGCGTGCTAACACTTGTAGTTGTACCGCTGGGAATGCCAGGGAAGTGGGAGAGAGGAGAGATTGGTGCAGTGAAGTAGTGAGGGGAAAAAGGCCCTTTGGGAATAAAGAAAAATGGCTTAGAGTTGACGGAGGAATCATTCTGAGAAGTCTGAAAGAACTTTTGAAAAATGTACTTCTTACAAGATGTTAGTAAAGGGTAACATGTAAAGTTTTTAGAAAGAAGGGTTTGCAATAATAGAGTTTTACTGATATGTGAACATGAATTTTCTCCATAACAATTCTTACTATTTATTGTTGTTACTACTATTGTTTATTTTTGTGATTTTAATGCGAAACCACTATATGATTACTACAGGCAAAGTGACATATGCAAGTATTTGCTTGTTATAACTTTAAAGCTGTGAGCCATACAGGTATATATCAATTAATTCATCATCGATCATTATTTAAATGTTTGTTCTATCATGTATTAGTATTTGTATCAGCAATTTGGACAAGGTTATGTGTTGGACTTTGTAATAATACAAATGTTGACACGGTTATGGGCCTCTTTGACAACTAATCATTGTATCAGCCCTGGAAAAAAAAACAAAAAAACATTGATCTCGAGGTCATATAAAGCATCATGGCCAATGGAGACCTTAAAGATACTATAAAACATGCATGAGACATTCTAAAACAAGATTCCACCAACATATTGAATACAATATTTCCAAACGTTCCATGAAGGCCTTGGTAACCTTGGTAACTGCATATTAGTCATAATTATAAAAAATAATGCAATAAATAGCACAGCATTAAGTGCTTTATAAAGAAAATGCTTAAACAACACCTTTTTAATGACTCCTGACCCTATTTCACAACGGATTATGAGCCATGATGACCAACATTCTAACCAATCACGGCACCACTCCACACAAATCAACCAAAAACAGTCTTTCCATTATCTCATTAGTTGGTCCATCTGCCAAAATACATAACCACAATGAGGTTTTGTTGGCGTGATATCAAGTGTCACAAGTCAAGGAAAAAAAGCAAGCCAACTCAAAAAGAAAAAAAAAAACAGCCAGAAATGCAACCCTCTCCTGATTTGTAGAAGGAGTAAAGATACGCTGCCACTTAAAACCCATTGTCCTTTTTTGTCAGATCCACTTCTTGTACAAGTTGCTTTTCTTTTCTTTGACAAGGTGGTACTTCACCCACAACCACTGCCGAAAAATGATACTTAATATAATTTCAGCTGTGATGTTTTATGCATGATTCTTGGCTGGATGGGACACAGTGAAAAATATGAAAAAATCCAAGTCATTATCAACTTTCAGAGCGACCTTGCATTGATTTAGTTATTTAGTAAAAATCACTTGGCGTGGGGTGAAGAAAGAGAGAGAGAGACAGAAAGGTGGCGAGGGCTTGTAGGGTGCTGCTGTTGCCATGGTTTCAGGGAGATGGCCATTATCTTGGTGTAGTTAGGAGCCGAACCATTGGTTTCTCATTAGCCGGAGTGCAAGCTGTACTTCTGACTATAGAATCCATCATTTTCTATACTTTGCCCCAAACCAATACCTTCTGTCCTTCCCACTATGGAATCAAGTGCATGTCCTGCTTATAATTTATGAAACGCAACAACACATTCTGTGAACATGATTGCCTGTCCACAGATCCGGCTGAAAAGTGACATGGTAGGAGTGTCCCATTGGGATATGTGTTTGGGATAATAATGACTTAGATCATTAGAGAGATAACAATCCCAAGAGAAAAAGTTACGTAGTGCACTAAAGATTGAAATGGAGTTAAGAAAGTAATTTATCTGTGAATTGCTGGATTTTTTTTTTTTACCCTTTAGTTGCCAAATTAGGATCTTACATGTATAAAGTTATACATACAGTGGCCCATATATTGATGTGGCCAATGTGTAATTTTTTATTTGATAGAATTCCTGCTTCCTGGTATATTTATATAAACAGAAAAGAGCAAGCACAGCTGTAATTTCAATATCAGCTCCTAAATCCAGGACAGGCTTCATACAAAACCTTTAGCAGTCCTCTACATCTTAGAAACTTGTTCCAACTTTATGTCTTTCATCTACCAAGAGCTACTAAGGACATAAAATGAAGCAACATTCTCAAATGTATGTAACCCAAACATTATACTCACAACAATATGACTGCTGTGGAATACGGACGGACATAACATACAAAATAAGAACAATAATAATAAGAATAATTTTAGGCCACAACAAAGCGGTCTTTAAATTCCAAACCGAGATAGCAGACTTTAGCGGACTTGCCACATAACCACTTTAAACACATCTAAAAAACATAATCCAATATGCTTCAATATGGAAAGATTCCGTTCATTCTTGAAATCCTGTCAAAGTCCGCAGCTGTGTCTCCCTAAGGCGACAGCCGGAGGCAGGGTGCTATGGGTGCTGTGGGTGCTGCTTCCATAAGCCCTGTCCATGGTGCTGACAGAGAAGTCCAGTATCATCATTACTTCGCTCAGTGGGACATAAACACGCCGTCGGTCAAAAAGCTTTGGACACTATGTAAACACAGATTAACTTATGTCTCACTGCATAAATTAAAGATGTAAGGAGCACTTAGAGTGGGGAGATCAGGAAATATATTTAAAGGATTACAAAAATGCACCACTTTCAGATTGAGACCTACAGGCTTCTAATTTAGTGTTGGAACTTCACAATCTCTCGACATGATGTAGGAG